AGCCATTGGAAAAACAACTTCTTTCCTTCTTGCCTTTCTGAATCATTAGTCTAAGTGGTACATCCAGCCAGAGTCTGACCTCTCCTGCCTTAGTTTGATTCTTCCTCATACACAGAATATCTGTTTCCAAGGCCCAGCAGCTGTTGACATTTGAAAATATCACACTGCAGTGGAACACTTTATATTTATGCCTCTGTTGAAAGCAAACTTGTATCTCGAAGTCCCCAGAATCCACCATTACTTTCCAATTGCCAAAGCACGAGTTTTTGATGAGGGCAGAGTAAGTCAGCCAGCATGCTCTCCACTCCTAATCCAGCCAAAATCTGCTTAACACATCCGTCTCTGTCCTATAAATCAGGGTAGATGAGGACTATAACTGATTTCCCCTTCCTGCCTCTTTTAGGAAGAACAGATTAATGAAGGTTGCAGAAACATGACAGCTATTAACAGGGATAAACACGATACCCCTGACCCCAGCCGCAGTTCCTGGATCAGATGCATGTGCCCGCCTCCATGCACACACGCACACGTGTGAGGACACCACAGGACTCAGATTTTCCTGGCAGGTTTTCTGCTGCTGGCAAGATGAAGCAGTAACATTGCTGCCCCAGAGATGCTGAGCTGAGGACTAACACAGGCCAGCAAAATCAAAGTGAAATTAGGTTTCAAAGTTCCAGTTCTAATTTTCCCCAAAAATTCTCCTCATTGTTTCCATAACAGTAATATGTGCTTTTGACAAGCAATCTGCACTTGTTTTCACATCCAGACATTCTGTATTGGTTACACTCTGTTTGGAGGCAGAGACACTGGCTTTGGCCAGCTGAGATTGCAGCTTTTGTACATGATGAAGTCTGCCATAACCTCTTTGTGCAACTCTGAAGGTTCCAAAGCACTCAGAAAACATTAACAGAACATAAAAAATAATTTAATTTTTAAAAAAATTAATTTCAATACTGCCAGCCTCAAAGTTCTCTTATTTTACAGTGCTGAGAAAGAAATATCTGTATAAGCACAGGAGATGTTCTGAATTAGGGCAAATCTCATGAGTTACTCACATTGCAAAATCCTATTTAGGTGCCTAAATAATAGCTGATTGCAAATATTTTTGTGAGAGTGGCCCTTAAACCTTAATCTTTGCCAACACACAGCTAAGGGCTATTGAAAGGCTTCCCCTAACCTCTTCCTGGAAAACTAAACAACCATCAGCTAAAGAAAACCTGGGATTTCTGGGAGACTTTCCAAAACTGAAAGCTAACAATGCCTGCAGCACTCACTGACATACTCTACACTGAGGATTTTTTTTCTTCTTACAATCTGCTGTAATGTGTGCATTCATTCATGCTTTTGTGTTTACATATGCCATAAAACCTTTTTATGAAAATAGCATCACTACTGACACTTGACAAACAAGGAGCATTTACTTCTTAATTTTATGGTGGTCACTCACATGCACCCTTATGTCCCATCAGCAGATCTTTGATGAAATTGTGTGTGGCTATCACATCTGTCGATTATGTCAGATATGGAGATGATTGCTAGGAATTATGATGGGTATGGTGCGTATTGTTTCTGCATTTCATGCAATAAACAGTGTGTTTAGTATGAAAATCATCTGTACATCCAGGCAGGGAAGAAACTGCAATGCATAGTGAGGACTGCTTGTTTTTTTCTCTTTAATAGACCCCTCATTAACTGACTTTTCTTAGCTGATTGCCAAGGGGATATGCAATGCCTCTTCCTAAAAGACATAAAACAGAAAAGGGAGATGATATAAAGAAGGAACATATACCCTCAATTTCAAGGGCAGGTTTGAGCCTGAAGTCAAAGCAAAGCTGACCTAATTGTTCAGCCTAAAGAAAACTGATGAGTCCACAGATTTTTTTTCAAAGAAAAAGGAATAATTTCTTTCCCATGCTCAAAGTAGATAAGAAACGTAGTAATGGATTTCATTTATAGTAAGGGAAGATAGCTGGAGAAGATAGCTGAAAAACAGTAAGAAGAGTTTACCACTGGCACAGAATGTCTCGGTAGGATACAGATTCTTCCTCATCACAAGCTTTAGAGGGGCTTGTTAGCCAAGTATGCCAGAAATAAAATGTGGACTGTTAATCCCACACTTAAATGGGGAGATCGAGTCACTAACTTCTAGACTGGTTTTTCTACATTTCTGATTTTATGGCTTTTAGAATGTGCTATCCAAAGGCAAGAGCAAGTCATGGGAGCAAGAGAAACAAAGATGACTAGAAATAATGCAAACTGATGAGATTTTGCCTCTCTGATAGAGTGGAATTAATCTCATCCTAAAAGCTTTTTAAGCAACTTTAAAACATAAAGTGTAGACAAGAACAGCTACATCTGGCATATAGATACCTTTAGGGAAGCTAACCAGACATTTCTGGAGCATAATTCATATGAACTCTTCAAAAGATCAATTTTCAACTGAGTCAACCAAATATCTATAATCTACTTTCTCAGTAAGTCTGTTTTTTTTTACTGGGAAAGATATCTGCTGGGAATGGCTCAGTCCCAGGCAATTACCTACATGCAGGCACCTAGTGTTAGCTACAATGGATCCCAGTACAGGTGACTGGCTTCCCAACCCCCAACTTTGCCTCTTGCTCACCTCTAGTAGCAGGAGTTCTGAACCCAGATTACAAAACAATGGCATTCCTCTTCCTCCCTCAGAAGTAATTCCCAAAAGCTCAGAACCCTCATTATTTATATATTTCTTCAATCTACTTTTCTTTCCCGCCTTCAAATTTTGCTATTCTTTAGTCCTCCTGCTGCAAGACCTTAACTGTTACTCTCAACATCTGGCTGAACCTGGAGTATACTGGAGGGAACTAGTGACAAACCAGCAGAGTGTTGCTTTAAAATGCTTTTCAGGGAAGCAGAGAAAGGCTTTACAAGCCCTGTACAGTTGGACAGCACTTCCTAATACTTGTAATGCTCTTAGATTAACTATGAGGAATGCACAGACACGCACTGTGATCACACAATTTCATTTGCCAAGCAAAACAAGTTAAAAGCTCCTTTTAAAAAAATTATTTTCTCTTCAACTCTTGCTCCTGCTTAGAGAAGCCTGACTAGATGCATACCAATTGGTACATCAGCTATTAATGGCAAGCAACCTAAACAAGTTCTCTGATATCAAACCTCCTGAAAAAGAGAGAGCAAAGTTGATGTACGCTTCTCAAAGAAATAAGAGACATAGTGTGAAATCTGATTTTTTCCCCCTTTCTTCATTCCTGCAGTAAAAAAACCCACTCAATGTTCACTGAATCTTTATCTGATAGAAAGGCAAACACTACAAAAAATAGCTAAAGTTGTGTTTTCAGCACAGATTTTATGGATTTCTCTTTTTATAAGATCTGTACAAAATAGTCTTAAGCAACAAAGTTTCAGACAAAAATATCACTTACTCAAACAGATGCTGATATGTCAGACAAGCAAGGACTAAGCAGAATCAGGCTATATCTGTACTTTGGCATTAGACCTCCAAAAACCAACTACATACTTCTAAAAGGGATTTAGACAAATCTGTCATCAGCATTTCTTGTATCTCTGCAAAAACTGTTACAGTGTTCACTGGGCAGCCACCAATGTCATCCTTCAGATGAAACAAGTGAATCCAGACTACACAGTCAACTATCCATGGACCTCCATTCTGAGCACAAAGCCAACTGGGAAACTCCTTTGCTGGTCAAATATCCCCCCACTTTCTTAATTCCCATTCTAAAAATGGCTAAAGCTACTTTTTCCACCATCAGTACATTTTGCCTTGAGAGTCAACTACAGCAATTTCATTAGTGCAAAGTGCAGATCTGGTGGTGCTCTATTCTGATTTTTTTTTTTCCACATTATAAGGTCAGAACACATTCTTGCTTCTGTCTGTGCCTGCCACAGAAGGTCATTCCTGTGCCCAGAAGACATCTCCTTTATCAGTCATCCTTCAACTCACAGAGTCAGGTCTGCGCAAGTTGCCGCCTTCCGCTCCTACAGGCTAATGGAGCATTTCTCTGCATCTGGGAAAACCAAGAGGCCCTCCAGCTTCACAGGTTAGTCAGAAAAATATAATTACACCACCTATAATTACACCAAGTGTGAGAGCATTAACTGCATCAAAAACCATGATGAAGAGGTGACACTAAACAGACACACACATAATGACTGTGAAGTGTTTACTGCTGTAACAAAATCTTCTCTGACTGATTCTTCAGCCAAGTGCTCTTTCAGACCTTTAATATTTTAAAACAATATTAGAGATTTTGATACCAATGGATTACAAAGATACCATGGACAGAGAAAGAGTGTAGGAGCAATAAAACTTTTGCTGTGTCTGTTCTGCACAATATAAACTCAATGTTGCTGGCAGTTTTGTTTGTTTGAATGCACAAAGACTATAGTTAGTTTTTCTCCTTTTTCCTTACAACTGGGATTCCCAAGTCAGGAATATTCTTTGCAACAATAAAAGTATCTGAAAACAAAACATGCATTTTCCTTAGAGGAGTACATACATTGATTTCACTATTGTATTAGTCAGCCTCTGAAAAACAGAGAACTCATTGAATTTTCTCAGATGACTTTGTCTGCATTTGCTGATTACATTTATCTTCCAGTTAGAATTGAATCTTTATTTCTTTATCACACTACTTGTGAATCATTAATTAAATCTCAATGGTAGATACTGGAAGCCTGAGAAATTGTGATAAAGAAAGAGAATAAAGTCAAAGCCAAAACACAAAAGACCTTACCAAAAAAGGAATTCCACCAAACATGAATTTTCATACAATATGTGCAATTCAGGCTGAAATCAAGTTTTATGCTGCAATAGGCAGACAGCTTTATTGTTTCTTTCAATTCTCTTATTTTCAGTATTTTGAATTAAAATATTTCTTTATTTCTGAAATCAATCCAGGTGATACTGCTTTATTTTAATTAGCACGATACAGAAATATGCCCTTTACTCTCATTGCAAACATTTAAAAAATACATCTTACCACTTTCATCCAGCAAGAAATCATCCTGGTAACGGAACTTTTCTGGTCCACATGCAATAAAAATGTCATCATCGCCAAAAAAATCCTGAAGGCACATCACCTGCAAACAAAAAGGAAAGGAAGGCATTGTATGAAATACCTCACCATCAGAATTATAACAATAAATCCCTCTTTGTCTCCATCTGCATGAAAATTCTTCACTTTTAGTGGAATCAACAGGGCTTCATCTCCAGATAAATTTCATGGTGCTCTGACCATCTGTTACGAGTGAGAAACACTTTTATGGACACTGCAGGGAAAGATTAGACAAAAAGCCATAACTATCAGATTTATTACATGATGCATCTATGGTATGAGGTAAACACCTTCTGTTTGTGCACAAGGTACCATTCAGTAGTTAGTGAGTAATTAATTTGCCTTTCAGTTCACATCTCCATTATTTGGCTGCAATGAAATAAGGTTAGAGCTTTGTATGCAGAATGAAATGCAATTATTTCAGCAAAAATCTGCCAGGGAATCAAACTTATATGGGTGAACTAAGCCTTCTTCAAAAAGTCTCTCTCTGTATGCCAGAGTTAATGTGAAGTTCTCTTTGAAGGCACCAAGCTGAACAGTCAAGTCAGATGAGCTGGGAATAATTCTTCTGATACTCAGTAAAATTATAAGCTCTTTCTACTCCTTATGAACAGTCAGTTCATATTGGTTCAGTTCATCACATTGGTGTGCTTTTGTGTCCCTACAGAAGATTTTAGAGACTTTATTTCAGCCTTTCAGCATCTAAATGAGGCTTGGAAGAAAGGTTGGGACAGGCTTTTTAGTAGGGCTTGTTGCAACAGGCCAAGGGGTAATGGTTTTAAGTTAAAAGAGGGTGGATATTAGGAAGAAGTTTTTTTACAGTAAGGATAGTGAAACACTGGAACAGGTTGTCCAGAGAGGTGGTAGACGCTCCATCCCTGGAAACACTCTAAGTCAAGAGCTGGATGCAACTCTGAGCAACCTGATTTATTTGAAGATGCCCCTGCTCATGGCAGGGATGGTGCAACTAGGTGAGCTTTAAGTTCCTTCCAACCTAAATCATTCTGTTCTATGATTTCCTTACAACAGCTTTCAGTTATTTTACAAGTCACTGCTTAACAATTCAATCTTTCCAATCATATGGAATAATATTAAACAAAGAATCAGTGACTTCTATGAAAAACTGATTTTGGACTTACTGATACAGTTTTGACAAATTTTAAAAACAAATTAGATGTCTATCCATCTTGTAAAAAACACAAAGATACGTAATAAAGTCTGTTCTCACTTCACATTTACAAGAAGATTCTATATGAGTAGGCTTGCTTAAATATTGTTATATCACGTTTTGTAATTAAATAATGCATTGATGTTTGAACAGGCTAATTTCATAACTAGAGTTTCAAGTCTACAGTCAGCAAAGCAACACATGAACAGTCTCTAAAAACTGACAAAACAGTTGAGAACAGTCCAGCTCATCTAAACAAGCCCCCTCAGAAAAAAACATTTAAAGTCTACAAAAACAGAAATCAAAGAATTACCTAATGAGATTCTGGCATTAAAAGTATCCCCATCAATCTGAAGTAACTAGTGTCTAGGGGTTATAAAATTCACACCTATCATTCCCAGAAACATGCCTGAAGGCTTTGACATCCACAAGAGTTATGAGCCTCAGTAGAAATGTCATAAAGAGGAAAATTAGAGGTACATGTCGTGACTTGCTTGTAGACTACTATTAAAAATTAAAACAATTTTAAAGGTAGAACATTAGCAAATAGAAAAAATAAAACAGGAAACAGAGAACAACTAGATGAAATAAATGCAAAAAAAAAAAAAAAAGGGTTCTTCCTAAATTATCCTTTCCTTAAGCAATACATGCACATTTAAATTATTTAAATTCAGATCCACCACAACCCTATTTCTACGACCACTGTCATCTTAACACTACACACTACCTGAACATCAACAATGTAAATATTTGGTAGAGCTTTTTACCATGTTCCTACTCTGTTTATGTTCTATTAGTGTATCAGCCTCAGCAGCATTTAAATAAACTCATTTGCTTCCCATCTTTCTTTTTTGTCCACAAGACATATCCTGCCTTATTTTCCCACCCCATACTCCCACCAAACTTCAGACAGCTCTTCTCTCCAGTCAAGTTCCTCTGAAATTGCCACCTCTCCCACTCCATGTACAAAACTACTAATTTGCAGAATTACATTAAAAATCCTGTGATTTCCTTTCTGCTTCCCAAGTTTGACACACTTCTGGGGAGTCATGACTTTTACATTTGTCTTTATACCAGGCACAGTATTAGAATCAAACCAGCAAGAAGCAACTCTAGACACAAAGTTGAACTATTTTGATAACAAACATGAATACAAATTACATTTGAGACAAAAAATAAAATGATTTAATAAAACCCCAAAATGTTTGGCTGTAACCAGTTAAGAGGGTTTCTTTCAAGCCTAAACAAGACATTAAAATTCAGGAAGCAACACGTAACACCAGGCTCAACTATACCTATTTTTAAAGCATCTCAGGTTCAATCAGTGCAATTTAAATGCAAATAAGAAAGAAAATAAGATTAACACACAAAAAATAATTTGTGCTTAAATATATTTGGGGTTTATAATTTTATAATTTAAAGTGTTATTATGCTTGCCTCTTTTCTCCTTGCCCTCAGTTTCATATTATGTATGTAAAATTACAGGTTTTTTGCCTCCTGAAATGTTAATAATTTTGGAATTATAATTCTAGCTGTTAGAAAGGTTATAGCAAGATCACAATTTCCTTTCAAATCCATCTTCTTCCAGAGTAACTTCTCTTACAATTTTCAGTACCTTTTTATACTGCTATTGGAAGCTCTGAGATGGCCTTCACTGTCTGCATTTTCCATCCCTGCTGTCTCAGCATCCCTGCCCCTCTCTGCAAGTTCACACTCCTCAGCAGTTAAATTAAAAGGCATCTGACACATACACAGCACCTCTCTTCCAGGTTTTTTTGGAGAGAAATCTGCAAACACTTTCTATTCACACCCAGTCATCAGCTAAGTAACAGGACCTGCTTTTTATTACCCATTTTCACTTTTGGAGAACATGGCTCCTAAAACGTTAGAGTTTAGAAGATCAAGAATTTTTATCACCTAAACTGGACCATACAAGTGTTTTAGAGATCACGCTCTGTTGCATGTGATCAGCTTTAAAATTAGTCATTTTTAAAATCAGCAAATTACAAAAGCCTCCCTTGGACTTTTCTGTTGTTTTCAAGGCACAGAATCCATCTTCTTTTTCACAAATAAAGTTTTATTTCTCACAAGGGGAAAAACAAAGTCAATGCAGGAGCAGTCAAATGTGCACCTTAAATAAAAAGAAAATTAAAAAATATTGTCTGCCACACAAGTGGTACTAAATACTCTGCAACTCTTTTTAATCAAAAACCTTTCTGGTAAGGAGACGTCATTTAACATTAATGGTGTCTCTCTTACACTTTGTAAGGGAATGAATAAATAACAGTAGCATTAGCAAAGGCCAGGGAATGCTTGGATTGATGATTAGAAAGACAAATTGATCACTGCTACGGGTTTTGGTTATAGGCAAGCCACATAAATAAAACTGGCTGACCTGGCCACAACCACAAAAAACAAAGGAGGCAGAAGATTTTGTCATGCCTAAAATCCCCTGAGTAAGTTGTACACAGTGAAGCCTGGATTCCACACTAATCATCATTGCCCTAGTAAACAACTCAAGGCACTCACATGCCCTTTCAGTGGGAAGCACAGGGGTCTACCTAGGAAGACCTCCCAATTATTTGGTACCTCAGTAGCTGCTACTGCGCTTTGACCCTCTAGTCAAAGCAGCACAGCAGCTGTGTCCCCAGAAGGAACCAGTGAGGGCTAGGATGGGCCAGGCACCCACAGCTCCCAGGGAAGCACAAAGCATATCAGCAGAACTGCCTCAGATAAAGAACAGGGAGCAAGAGCAGCAAACCTGCCTTCCAGCCCAGCTTCAGGAACGGCTCTGCACCATATACACTACACACCTTAGGCATTTTGAAAAATTATCTTAACTTTTCCATCTTTAAGTAGGCAAGCATTTGGAACCAAAGAGAAATCTCCTACTATGGGGACTTTTCCTTTGATTAGCCTGAAATATTAAAGTTCACCTCTTTGGAGATGGTCTCCTTCTTATGGAGACCCTCCTTCTTATATATACAAAAGACATCAGAAATTGTGCTTCACATGGCAGAGTGCACATGGCCCAAGAACAGCAGTTTGTAGAGCCAATCCCTGGTTTTATTCTCTCACCACAAGTAAGAAAGAGCAGTCAGAAGTGGTTTGGAGGAGCTGCAGAGGGAGGGAAAGAGTGAAAGGAGAACACAGAGGAAAAAGAGGGAAAGGCAAAGGGAAAACAGGGAAAGAAAGAAGAAGGAGGGAATCACGGAGGGAGAGAGCAACAGAGAGAGTGATTGGATCAATCCTTTCAGTAAAAGCATGAAATGAAAGTTACAAATTCAATCCTCTTTTATAACTGCTGTATTCTGACTGTATTCAGAGGCTTTTTAAATTCCCACTTTAAAACACATCCACAAAAAAAAGCCCAGAACTAAATTCTTTGTGTATATCAGTCACAGCAAATTGAATTATTTTCTATTCTTTTAAAGTTGACCACACATCAAGTTAATATGGAAACACTGATATTTTTGAATAAAATATTCAGAAAACAAAAGTTTCCACTGCATTCAGGAACATTTCATAGCACCAGCACATTACAGCACAACCACCATGATTACTATCACACTTCTTTGTTACAATTTCCATAGTGCTGGGTTCTTGGGTAGAAAAGGAGGAGGGGGTGTTCTCTGTGTTTGTCTTCTTTTAATAACAATTTAATTTGACTTAAAGCTGAAAGCTGCTTTGGATGAGCAATGAGAAAACCTCAAGCTGGCATGTCCTCAGGCATCATGGCTGTTGGAGAGCTGGAAAGAAAAGTGATGATAAAGAAATGAGGTGGTTAAAGCAATAGAGATGCAGAAGGCCCTAAGGAGAACTCAAGTGGTAAGTGGGTATAGGGTTTTATGAAAAGC